ATATCTCTCGTTCCCTACTCTCTCCGTCAACGGGGGTGCTATGTTGAAATTGGGACCGGATTTGTTCACGGCCGCTATCGGAAGGAGTAGGCGGGGATCATGCCGTGAATGCGGAGAGGCAAGGAGAAGAAGGTCGTCATCGATATCTTGAGGGCCTGGAGTAGCAGGAGAAGGACGAAGGGGGAGGGTGAGGATGCCGGATCGGAAGGTGGAGAGGGGCGGGATTTGGTCGGACCGACGACAGAGGAATCAGAAGGATAGGGTGAAGCATGCGAGGAAGTTTGCCAGCGTTAAGGAGGTTGTGGAGGGGGAAGACGTCGAGGAGGGGTCCTCAAGTAAATTGGAGGAGGATGTAGGTCGGGGACCGAATTTGTGAAGAAGGGGTTGGGCAGAGTGGGTTGGGAGGGTGCCGATCAGGATGTGGGATCGACAGGAGGAGAAGGTTGGAATGCCAGCCAATCAGGGTGAGGATGTAGGAACCGATGAACCAATGAAGTGAAGGGGAAAGAACGCTAATGCAACAGGGTAAGGAATGCAGGTCGTGTAGGGGGATACGGACAAGGTGAGGAAAGAAGAGAGTGGAAGGCAGGAACAGGGGCCCAGCGCGGAGGGAGGGGAACAGGTTGTAAGGAAAGGAGAGAGAGCAGGATAATGAAGAAAGACCTGAATCACTAGCGGCATAGGGTCAATGTGGATATGCAGGTGATGGAGAGAGAGCACTGGAGAGACGAAGAGTGACAGACATATGCAGGTGATGGAGAGAGAGCACTGGAGAGACGAAGAGTGACAGACGGAGGAAGAGAGGAAAGGACATGCCAGATCAGCAGGGGCCACATCGAGGAGTAGAGCTCGAAGAGGATCCCAACGGAGGAGGGAAAGGCGTGGAGAAAGACGGGAAGAGAGAGGCGACAAACACATCACAAGGGGAGGATGGGAAAAAGCAGATCGGTGGGGGGAAGATCGGGAGGGGGGATGGCGGACGCATGTTGAAAGATGGAATCGGACAGGTGGAAGAGAAGCAATTGAGAGGGAAGGGAAGG